CGGTACGGTACGGTACGTACGTACGTAGTACGTACGTACGTAGTACGTAGTACGTACGTACGTACTACTATACATACTATATATATATATATTATTTTTTTTTTTACGGTAATTTTTTCCTTGATACTATAGAATTTTTTATTTCAATCTAAAACTCTAGTAAAATCTTGTGGTTATCCAAACAGTTCAAATCTATTTCACAAGAATTTTGGATTGCAATCCAAAAATATTGCAATTTTGGGTACATCCCAATTAGCACTTTATGATTAAAAAAAATACCCATCCAACTTCCTTTCTATCTACATAACATGGATCAAATGTAAACACAAACCAACATACTAGAAAGAGATACAGAGTAGACATTACTTCCTGGAAAATTTTCTCCATAAATATCAGGGAAAAATTTAACTTGAAAGCTCATCTATGTAAATAAGAATTAGTAGTTTAGAATAAGGTTTATTGCTCACCGCTCGGCGGAAGGCAAACATCTCTTCCTGACCAGACAGGAGGGATACTATTTTGTTTGGTGTTACCGCATTCTCGCCTACATTGCCTGCCAAGAGCACATCTCGGCGGAGCTTCCCGCCTTCTGTCTCTGTTTCAAACTGGAAACTGCATCCACCAACCACAGCAAATATACAAACTCCTAAATTACACATTTGTCTTTCACACTCGAGATTTGATCAGTAAATTCACCATGGAAAATGATGATAAAAACTTTTTCTCTTTGTCTAGTATGAGATAGAATGGGTATTCAGGTTTTAGATTGATTGATTACTGTGTTGACTATTGCAACACTAAGTTCCAGGTTTGAATCTTATAGTGACGGACTCAAGAAAGAAAGTGCAGCATATATTTCTTCAGTATATAATTATTTTACTATTGCCAACACAAACTAATCAAACTTAGAGCACAATGACTGATTGACAGAAGTACATAATAAGATATCATGAAACTTGGTGTATACACAGGATTGATCATCAGAGAAAAGGACCATTGTATTCACTATGTAGCAGTGAGTTTCAAAGATGTGACTGCACGCTAATAAATTTGGGCAATGAAATCAATCGAAAATACACAGAAAATTGAAGAAATGGTTGCAATATGTACATATTTCCCAATTTCAATTAATTTGAGTCAACTTTTCAGAGTTCATTAGTATGAGAAAACAGAAATTGTCTTTTGTGGTGGTTCACGCATCTGTCACTGTCACATTATACAGAATGTGGGGTAGATAAGGGGTAGATAACATTGAAGAGAAGCCATGCCCATCCCTAGAAAATGCACTGACGCACCATGAATTGCCTTTACTGTGTTCTAGAACGTTTTGTAGCAAAAGCCTCTTTTTTTCAGGATTTTATACTCACAATATAGTCTCTTACATTTCCATCTAACTCCTAAGCAAAGGGGGATTGCATGCTGTCTACTTTCCTTAAAATCTGAACACAATTCAAGCTTGAGCTTTCCCAGGATGAAGAAAACAAATGTGTTGGTTGGAACAAATTAGAGTAATCACCTTTCCAGGTCAAATAGTGTACCCTCATCTTTCCCTTGAAATAGATCATCAACAGAAGCAGCAGCAGAACAGAAAAGGCAGCAGTGATGATTGTATAGCTCATCAACAAGGGTGATAAATCTCCTTGCCTGCACAACAAAATATTACTTATGAAATACGAATTTATAGAAGAGTCAAAACCTCATCAATGAGCTCCAAGATCACACGGCAATGGTTTATTTGATGCAGCTCCAATATCCGCTCTGGAACGTTTGGCACAGTATTTTAGGTGATAGATACCTTTTTAGTGGCATCTTTGGATGCCAAATTTTACCCTTGTTAGGTGGAGATGCACACGTAACGCTCCACCATTTTGTGAGTGAAAAAATTAAAACTACCAATTTTAACCCAATACACAAAAGTCGTACTCTTTTTATCATTATCATCATCAGAGCCTTTTCCCAACTAATTGGTCAACTACACGAATCCTGGTCCACCATTTTGCGCTATCAAGGGCCATTAAAGTGGTACTCTTTTATGGAACTTGAATGAAAATCAATACAAAACATGCAGTAGCTAAAAATACCGCAAATGTTGAAGCAGGGTCAAATATAGAAGGCAAAGTTTAACTGGGACCAAATATATATTCACAATGAATAGAAATTACGATCGTCATGAAAGTACATACTCCCACCCAAATAACCCCATATCCCTGCGTGATGCACATTTGAGCTGGTAAAGGAAACTCCTCCCAACTACAAACAAAGATAAATGGTATAGCACCATGACTGATTGATGGATGGAAAAGTGGGATGAATGGCAGTCGCGATGATGACAATTTGAAGATAAGATATTTGTCATACTGATTTAAAGCAGAACATTGCAGAACCAAGGGATCCTATATTCATAGAGAGACTAATAATAGCCAGAAAACAGATGTCCACATCAGATGAAATATCACCTCAATGACTAAGATATTGTTCACAAGTCAATATAGACGTCACTGATCTGAATAGCAAGACATAAAAAATGATGGAAAAATTTCAGGACTCAAGAAACACATCAATAAATGATCACTGTTATCCATTAAAAGAAAGGATAACATGAGCAGGACCAAAGACAGACGACGGCAAAAACAAGACACTACTTCTTCAGTGTTCTGAATTTTACATCTAAAGACGAAGTACTGCCACGAGGAAACCAATCAACTGAAGATAAGAACATACCATTCGTAGTCTCTAATAGCTTGTGAATAATACTTTAAGATGGAAAAATCCCTATTGTAATTGTTATCTAAGATAATAGAATCACGACATGAACTTAAGCAAGGAATAGCGAACTGAAGATACAAATATTACAATCCAGCATATCATGGAAAGTAATAGTATTTTGCAATTTCAAGCTGATCAATAATAGGAACTAAAAGATTTAGTAAGTATATGGTAGGACTCATATTTGAAAGATTATGAGGCACAACATATTGAGTTCTTTAAAAAATTTTTGAAAACGGTCTGCCCAGCGCCTACCGCCCATCTAGGAGCCCAAAGGGGCCTAGCCAGCATGCCAAGACCAAGTCGCTAGTGCCTGGGCACCTGCCTAGGAGGCCCAAGCGTGCGCCCCGCACGAAGTCCTAGGTGGGAAGCAAGGTCTGGAACTGTGTAATAAAGAGGCCATTAAGGGCATTTTGACCCACAAATTAGACATAAAAGAGTATTTCAGGGCATTCTGAACCCCCCCCCAAGAGTGAAAAAAAGTCAAATCTAGACCCTAGAAATACCCCAAATCGATTGATTTTTGCAAAATTTATTTGAATAAAAAAAAAGAATCTGAGGTTTGACAAAAGCTTACCTTTTGTTATTGGAAATTTTCTTTAGATTGGTAGTGAAGGTATTAGAAGACTTCTGTGGTGAGTTATAGCTCGAACTTTATCGAGAACATCAAAGACTTGGAGCCCATGTGACTGTGTCTTGTATTGCACAATCGAACTATTGGTTTTATGATTTTATTGGAGACTTGAAGTCCATGTGACTATGTCTATGTGCATGTAATTGTGTATCATGATCATGAGTCACTATGAAGTATGGATTGCAGAGTTGGAGACTATACACCATGGCCTAGTTTATGCTTTTTCACTAAGTTTTCAATGATTTTAAGGATTTGGGTGCCCGCCTAGGGGCTGGGCGTTAGGCGCCAGGCCAGCCGCTGAGAGGCCGCATAGCATTTTCTGCAACATTTTTTTTTCCCTAATATCTTTCTGCCAACACATGCACCCAACTTGTATGTTCATCAGAGTACAAGATATTTAATCCGATGTTTCCAACATTTTAAGGACAATGCAGAAGACAGGTATAAGCAGAACACGGAATGTCATTTGTCATGTAACAGGCACCCCAGTAAAGAGTTATTGTGTTTCAAATCTTTGACTTCGGTCTTGCTCTATGGAGCCATTCATCCACATCCACAAGCTAATATAGATACACAATCATTAATAATAGTAATGTCATGTACACCCCAAAAGAATATACAAGACTGTATCATAACAGATGTATTTACGAAAGAGAAGCATAAGGTCAGAAAGTGATAAGCACAATACCTTATCACGTATGCGCATACTCATCATAGGAATGTCTGAAATAAAAACTGTGTGAAAATTATTAGCTATTGCAATATAATCTGCTGCTCCCACCTGAATAGCAATAAGTTCACGAGTAAAATCACTAATTATAATATGAGTGCAACCAGTGCTCATCCAATTCAGAAATTCTAGGAAATAAATTTCTTATATCTGATAACGTCTATGTGCTTTGCTGACACTAGGGGCAATTCTGTCCATGAGCAGTTATCTTATGTTGCAAGGGTATATACATCATTTGGTCAAAAGAATATTTTAGCCATTTTATACCATGTGACTTCACAAGAAACTGCAGTAAGGATAAATGGTTTCACTCGCATCTGTTGATCATGCTCAGTGTGGGAGGAAAAACATGCCATTCCGGCCTCTGTTGGCTCTTGCAGTTGGGTTTTTTTTCTAACCATATCTCTCTGTATCAAAGGGATGCAATGACGAGAATATATGTGAGAGAAGGTCTATAGGTTAGGGATGTGAACTGGAGGAGAATATGGAGCTGCTTGGGGATTTGAAGGAGATCGAAAGTATGGTTCATAATTTCCTCAAAAGTATCCACAAATAGCCAGAGATGGAGGTTTTGGAGGGACAGGAATGTGTGAAAGAGTTCTTGGAGTACCTTTCAACTGTAATTTCTTCATCACTTAAGATGCTAAGGGAAGAAGGGAATGGCACTGTACGAAAGACGTGAGGAGCATTGTTAGAAGCTAGCCCTTAGGAACTGAGCTTTTTTGTATTAATAATTTTAAGGAAATTAAAAAAATTGAGGAAGTTTCCTACATCATCTTCAATTGGATTTCATTTAGCAGGAAGAAGCCCACAGTTCCCCACTATCCGATAATAACATTTAGGAAGCTTGAATTTTACTAACGTAGGGGTTCTTGGATTTTTTTTATATTTTTAACCCATGAAATGTATTGTGAGTTTCTCCTAGAAAGAAATAACATAGTATAATATCAAGCATTCAAGATTTAAACAAGTTTCATCATCATCTTCTAAGCTTTTTTTCCCAACTAATTGGGGTCGGCTACATGAATCCTAGCTGGCCATTCTGCTCTATTAAGGGCCACACCCTCAGTGGGGCCATAATCCCCAAATCTTTTCCCCACAACTTCCAACCATGTCCTTTTAAGCCTACCCCTTGCCCTTTTTTAGCCTTCCACTTGAACTAACTTGCACCTCCTAGCAGGTGTTGTATTGGGTCTGCCAGACACGGCCAACTCACCTAAGTCTACTTTCTCTCATCTTATCACCTATTGGTGTCATACCTAAATTTATATGAATGCATTCATTTCGAATTCTATCCCTTCTTGTCTTGCCACTTATACATCTCAACATCTTCACCTTACACTCATTCTATGGATATGTTATTTCTTGACGGCCCAACATTTTGCCTCCTAAAGTAAAGTTGGTCTCACAGTTGTCCTATAGAACTTACTCTTCAGCTTCATTGATATGCAGCAATCACACAAAACTCCGGTTGCACATTCTCCACTTTTCCCACCCAGCTCTAATTCTATGTGCGACATCTTCCTCAATCTGTCCATTTTCCTAGATTATCGACCTAATCTATCGAAAGTACGCTCTTTTTTGTATTTCTTGGCCGTCAATCACAACTGCTTCCTAGTCTCTACTCTTATTTATTACTAAGCTTGCATTCCATATACTCTTATCTTAGTCCGACTAATTTTAAAACCTTTAGATTCGAGAGCATCCCTCCAGAATTCTAATTTTGTGTTGATGCCATTCGGGGTCTCATCGATCAAACTATGTCATCCGTGAACAACATGCACCACGATACCTCATCTTGTAGGTGCCTAGTTAAGGTGTCCATAACTAAGACAACAAGGTATGGGCTCAATGCTAACCCCTGGTGTACACCTACTGTCACTAAAAACTCACTCGTCTCTCCGCTAGTTGTTCGTACACTAGTTAGCAATCTCTCGTACATGTATCTCACCAAGTCGATGTAGTGTCTTGAGACTATTTTCTTTTCCAACACCCACCAAATCAAATCTCTAGGTACTCTATAATACGCTTTCTCTAGATCAATGAAGACCAGGTGGAGGTCTTTTCCCTTTGCCCTAAACTTCTCAATCAGTTGCCTAAGTAGGAAAATAGCCTTGGTTTTTTACCTGCTTGACCTAAAATCGAATTAGTTTTTTGATACATTCACTTTGTGCCTTAGTGGCTGCTCAGTCACTATCTCCCATAGCTTCATAGACTCATAAGTTTGATCCCTCTATAATTCGCACATATCTGTATGTCTGCTTTGTGCTTTTAAATAGATACCGCGGATTTTTTCTCCATTCGTCTAGCATTTTCTTTGTTTTCAACACCTTGTTGAACAACTTGGCCAGTCATCAATGTCAATTTCCCCCATGTACCTCCAAACCTCTACCTAAATACCATCTAGTCTTAAAGTATTTCCTATCATCATCCTCATTAAAGCTTCTATCACTTATGAGATCTTAATCCTACGAATGTATCTAAAGCACTTCCTATCTTCATCATCTTCAAAGCTTCTATCACTTCCAATATCCTAATCTTACGAATGTATCTGTGATTTTCGTCGTCATTTATGTCAACAATTCTTTCTACCACTATGTTCCCATTGTGTTCGTCATTTAATAATTTTGAAAATAATTCTCCACCTTTTGTTGATCTTTTCATCCTTCACTAAGACCTTTTGATCATCACGCTTAACGCATTTAATATGGTCTAAGTCCCTACACTTTTTCTCTCTCATGCAAATTTGAAGACATCTTTTTCACCTTTTCTTGTTCCTAGTTTGTTGTACAGACTATCATATGCCCTAAGTTTGGCCTTACTTGCTATTTGTTTAGTATTTTTTTTAACTTTTTTATATTTTTATAAGTTTTGATCATTTCCATTATATTGCCAAATTTTATAACATTATTGTTTTTGCTAATGCCCTTCTGAACCTCATCACTCCACCACCAAGTTTCCTTCATCGGAATTTCTTTTCCCTTTAGATTCTCTTCAAACTTCTTTTGCCATTTTCTTAGTATAGTCATCCATCTAATTCCACATAATATTGACCCAACGTTCAAAGTTCCATTTTCTTTCTTTACCTATTTTATCCCTAGACAAATTTATTTTTTTTATTTTCAAATTCCACCACCTAGTTCATGGACACCTATTAATTTTACCCCTTCTCTTCCATGTCTTTATGCAGAAGTCTATACACATGATCCTATGTTGGGTAGTCAAACTCTCTCCTAGGATAACCTTACAATCTTTACATGATGGCTGATCATCTTCTTAACTAGGAAGAAGTTAATCTAGCTTTTATGTGATCTACTTTTACAGGTTATTGAATGTTCATCTTGCTTTGAAAAGTACGTGTTTGCTATTGCTAGGTCATAGGCCATAACAAAATCTAGAATAACCTCACACATCTCATTTCTTTCACCAAACCCATATTCCCCGTGTACCCCTTCATATCTTCTACTATCCTTCCCTACATGTACATTTAAGTCCCCTCCCAAAAAAGTCCTCTCTCCATTTAGTATGTCCTGCACTAGTCCTTTCCATGTCCGCCCAAACTTGTCGGTTTATTCTATCATCTAGTCCTATTTGTGGTGCATAAGCACTAGTTAATTAAATCTTCCCCTAATACAAATTTAATTAATAGGTAGTCTATCACCTACTCTCTTGACATTAACTACTTTATCTTTTAAATCTCTGTCTACTATTATGCCTACAAGTTTAAAGGGGAAAAAAAAAGGTCTATCAAAAATATTTAAGGACCCTTAGTGATTCCTATAACATAAAGTGGATGCATATATAGTTGCATAATGGAATGGTGAAAGTGGCATGCTATTTGGTTCCAGTAATAGTTGTTGAGATAAGAGGCAGGACCGGGAGTAGGATCAAGATCGGGATCGGGATTGGGCATTTTGGATAGTGAAACACGAGAAGAATCATACGGTTGGGAGTGATGTCTGTATAATGCATATTTTCGAGATCTAGATCCCTAAACATTATGGATCTAGATCCCCAAAAGGTTGGGTATCTTGATCCCAACCTTTTAGGATCTTGGTTCCAACATTTTTGGGATCTTGCTCGCAACCTTAAAGAGTATTTATAATAGAGCATAGCAAGTAGCCATTAATATCTTCTTTGGGAGAGACAGTTTCCTCTTAATTCTCACTCATATTTGGGGGATGAAAACCCTCAGAGGGCTTCCAAGAAGAAGAGGAAGAGCAACAAATAGTTTGAATATTTTTTTTGTTGTTTTGGGATATTTTAGATATTGTTTTCTAATTTATTTCATTGCAAGACCAGTTCAGGACTTTTTGGACATTTTAATTAAAGTTTGGAAGCTTAATTTCCTATTATATTTAATTTAGGACCTTTTGGTCAAAATTTAATTGTATGAATTTGACCAAAACAATAAATTCTTAACATAAAAGAGGTGTATGGATGGGCTAGAGGAACAAGCACGTATTCCTCTTTTCAGAAAAGAAGACTTGTCTTGAGAAAAAAGAAGCTTGAGGCTTGAGAAAAAAGAAGCTTAAGGCTTGAGCCCCAAGTTGGAGAAAACCTTAGGGTTTCTCCAAAATTGCATGTGTCTGGCTATTTTCTTGGTGATTCTTATTGTTTCTTCAAGTTCTTTGCATCAAGTAAGGATCCCTTTATTTATAGCCAACAAGTAATGCAACCATATTAAAAGTAGAGTTATGTTGCCAGCTGACTACAAATAAAGAAAATCATCAGTTTGGTAGTTATTAAGGTCTTTCAGATTCGAATTGAGAACCTTAATAGTCAGAATCAAGATCCCTCAAGGGGAATTTCATTGTACAGCTCCCCTTTCGGGGATGCACATCTTTTAATATACTCTTTTCTTTAATACAACAGTTAAAATTCTGAAAAAAAAACAGCTTGAATCAGGTCCCTAACAGTGAGGATTCAGATCCCAAAATATAAAAATCGAGTTCCCTTGAGGATCCCTTTTCTGGAGCGCCGAAGCGAAATTCTGGAGCGGGACCACCATGTATGTTGGAAGATCCCAGTAACTATGGATCTAGCCCTTTCAAGGACTGCCAAATGGATTAGTTTTTGGTACATAAATTCAGTTGTTCCTAGTTTCAACACTACCACTGGTATCGTATCCTTACATGATCTCATGGCTGCAATTTAGGATAGATAGAAACCAAAAGTATGTTTAATTTAAACATTCAGAAATTGAGTGTCATCAAAATCTCAAAAAAAAAAAAAGTAAAAAAATTATGAGTATATGTTTTACGTTTTATCTTCCTATCATCATCATCATCATCATTTTAGGCTTTACCCAATTAATTGGGTCGGCTACGCATTTTATTTTCCTCTCCGAGACAAAAATTCATAGTTACTTAGCTATTTTGAACTGGTATATCAGAGCAAAGTTACTACCGGACGACCGCAAAGATAATCAAATGTGAATCGTGAAACCCCATTACAGCTCTCAGGAACCTCCAGTGTTCTGTTTTAAAGCAGAGATACATACATTATTTGACAAAGAAAATTGCTTAATATCTCACACTTTTGCTATTTTGTAGGAAGCATACCTTCCAAACATTATAGGAATACTAGTTGAGGTTATTCTTCCTCCGTATTGCATGGTAACATTGTGCCACATTCTTTCGAATTCATCATATGAGTGGCGATCTAGAGGCCAAAAGTAATGCTCCTGAAGATGAACAAGAAAGGGAATAAATCATAATGGATAAAAATTCATAGTTTTTATTTTTGTTCTTCTTTATGTGGGGAGGGTGTGTGGGTTGCGTGAGAGAGAGAAGGGGGTTGTTTTAAGTAAGAAATCACTTGTTTTCAGGAGATATCTTCTTTAGATTTGCCAACGATACCAATGCAGGGCAATATTCAAATAAGTTTATGATCACCAACTAATGCAGGCTGAAGTGAAACTCTTAACATGTGCAAATAAAACCTGATGTGAAGTAAAATTTAAAGCACTTACTCTGGTACAAAAAGCAGGTTCAGGTAACAAGAAAAAATGCACCTTATTCAGAATATAGTTTATGACAACCTCTGTCCAAATGCAGTCTATTGAACTGAATACTCTGCTCAAACATATGGCCTAACGTATTCAGATGAGTAGTAGTAAAACCCATTTTAGGATATTTAGAAAAGAGGTACCTAACCTTTAGAAAGATAAGGAAACCTACTCAAGTCGAACACAAACACCTCGTAAAGGACTAAGATGATCAAGTATAGAGGATTCACATACGGAACAATAACATTATTTGATTTTCAAAAGTAATTCTAAAAAACTAAACAGAAATAGCAAACCCTTTTTATTAACGTAGAAATTACACTCATGCTCCTTGAAGGACTCATTGATTAATATGATATAATGGACACAAAGGTGTTAGAAAGTTCATGGCTTAAGGCACAGACTTCGGTACGATTGATGGTTCCAGGACTATCACTGTACAACCACAAATATTTGTGGCATTTTGAAGGTTGTTTTATAAAGAGGAGTACACTCCAGCAATTACTTGAAAAGGGGGAGGAATTTCGAACTTATTTGATCAGTGTCATTTCCAGTTGATCTCTGACTTGATCGAAAAAGATACAATGCCAGTATATGGTCTCATGAGCTCTCATCATGGCTCTCTCAGTAGTTTCAGAATGTCATAAAAAATGAAAAAGATATCATGCCAACTTTTAGTATATGGTCTCAAGAGTTATACTCATGACTCCCTCAAGTAGTTCCAGAACCTCATAGAAATGATTAAATGAGAATACCGAATTAACTTTCTAACAGAACCCAAACAGTTTAATGACAGTAGGTTGGAGAGACAGGATAGGGAGGGACTGAAAGGGGTTGGGCAGAGAGGCTTGCAAAACAAGTAATACAGATCTAAAAAATTATCACATGCTCAAAATGACAAAAACAACCAGAATCAAGCTCCAATTCTCCTTCCACCCCAACCAAGACACATATATGGAAAATGTACCTGCTGAACAAGCCACCTAATAAGAAAAATAAACAGAGTGCATGCCGATACATAGCACAAGAAAATACACAGAGAGACACATGAAAAATTCTTACTACAATTGCACATGCATATTCATATTCGCAAGTACAAATGCATGTATGCTGCATGGACACACACACAGACCCCTGAAAATAGAGGACAGAAACCGAACCTTATCACAGGTTTTGCTTGCTAAAAGACGACGATAATCAATCTCACTTCCAACCAAAATATTCCTACAATGGTCCTCCAGTTCTGCAACAAATCTTAAGAATATCTCCTTCTGCATGCCATCCTATAATTGGGAATATGACTAATCAACCAAGGGAAGTTCTTTGAAAAGAACAAAGAAAGCAAGCCATTCAACAACTGACATAAATATTCCAATATTTATAACAGCAGGGTCCATCTGCCCCAAATATGATATATTAATAGGATTCTAACCATAAAGACATGGAAATTCTTTTCCACATATATGTCAAGTAATGGTATTTGACAAGTCATCACTAAATGTCCAGTTTCCTAAAGAGAGTGATTTAATCTCCAAATGCACACGATGCTTATAAGAATGATCAGCTAGATTTCTTCTAGCCAACCAAATTATTGCACCACTTAAAAACAGAGAACAATTCTGAAACGATCCACCAGGACTGGCCTACCTGATTGAGATCCGTGGGTGCTCTATTGCTGGTGGCCACAAGGACAGTCCCAGTACTGAGCAATCTGCTTACTATTCCAGACAAGGCAACAACCGCAAACACATCAACGGTCTGTGCATAGAAATAAAGAAAATTTAAGTCAGAAAGCCTATCTTGTAGAATTTCCACAGTACCGCAAATGACAAAACAAGGTATGCTTTCTTTTTGTCTTCGAAAATATGCAACCAAGCTTTTAAATAGCAGATATATACAGCCGAACTAATGAGAACAATAGGTAAATAAGTGTAAGCATTTTGGTATCAAAAGTATCCATAAAAGCCAGAAACGACTAGAAATGAATTAAAAAAAATAAGATAAAAGAAAAGGAAAACCAGTGCAGCTAAAGACTATTTATTTGCTTGTAGAGTGTAAGCATTAAGGTATCAAAAGTATCCATAAAAGCCAGAAATGATTGGAAATGAATTAAAAAAAATAAAATGAAAGAAAAGGAAAACCAGGGAACTATGGATCAGAAAATTAAATATATACTTAATTCATGAGGGTCAAAACTGGAATATCAAATATTTAGTCATAAAAGAGATGAAAACAACTAAAAATCCACAATTGATAATGGAAAGTAGAAGACCTTAGACCATAATATATCACTAATGGAACATCTGCAAAAGTGCTACCCCCAACTGGGCGAATGCAAGAGATGAAAAATTAAGAGTGTATGCTATGTGATGAAATTCTTCTGTGAGGCCTTTCTAAAATGTCAGCAAGCTGATTGTTCTTTCTGGTAATAATTCTTTCTGGTAATAACGTTCTAATAGCACCTTCCCTTACTTTCACTTGGTAAGAGACAATGCACTTGGACTAATTTGTGCTTCAAATGCCAAATTTTTATTCATTAATATTTGTATTTAAGTAACAATGGAATGCAAGCTTAGTAATAATAGGAGTAGAGACGAGGAAGTAGTTAAGATTAACGGCGAGGAATTACAAAAAAGACTGCACTTTCGATAATTTGGGTCGATAATCCACAAAAATAGAGAGATTGAGGAAGATGGCGTACACATAATTCAAGCTGGGTGGGCGAAGTGGAGATGTGCAATTGGAATTTTATTTGATCACCGCATACCAATGAAGCTGAAGGTAAAGTTCTATAGGACAGATGTGAGACCAGCTTTGCTCTATAAGGCGGAATGTTGGATGGACAAAAAACAATATACCCATAGAATGAGTGTCGTGGAGATGAGGATGTTAAGATGGATGAATGACAAGACAAAAAGAAGATGAGAGAGACTAGACTTAGGTGGGCTACCCATGTGTGGCGACGACCAAGTACAACACCTATTAGGAGGTGCGAGTTGGTTCCAGTGGAAAGCTTGAAAAGGGCAAAGAGCAAGACCAAAAGGATGGGTGGTTGGAAGTAGTCCGAAAAAATATCGGGACTCATGGCCTCACTGAGGGTATGGCCTTTAATATAGCAGAATGATAGACCAGAATTCATGTAACCGACTTCAATTAATTGGAAAAATGCTATGATGATGATGATATTTGTATTTAAGTCCCTAAGGACTTATTTGACTTTTCCCTTACTTGAGGGCAGTATTGTACTTTAATACTTTTATTATTACTACAAAAGGAGACTTGGGCGAGGCATATGGGTTATTATGACACCACTGTGACCCCTCTCTCTCATGTTGTCCCCAACGTAGCACTCTCTCTCTCTCTCTCTCTCGCTGTTCTATTTATAAAACTCTTTCTCTTCCTAGACCTCAATCTTTCTCCCTCTTCATCTCTTAATGTGGTATTAGAGCATGATACTTGAGAAAGTTTGTGGTCCACACAGACAATGTGGCCACTAGCTACTTCACCACCAAAAAGAAACTGACCCCCAAACAAGCCCGTCAGCAGGAGTTTCCAACAGAATTTGATTCGCTGTTGGAATATAAGTTGGCAAAGCCAATGTTGTTGTCAATGGCTTGAGCCAGATGGTGGACATACAGTTGAGGTTGCTTCCTTAGTTCGAGTGGAAGGAGAACTGCTTGGACAAAATCTTTGGTTGCTGCCTTAGTTTGAGTGGAATGAGAATTGCTTGGACGAACCCGTGATAAGACTAAGAACAACCCATTTAACCTAAAGGTTGGTGCAGGAGGTTTAAGAGGGAGTCATAATTGTTAGGATTGGGAATGAATAGGGAGCAGGATAGGGATCGAGAGTGAGGTGGGGCGATCATGAAAGGCTAAAAGATCCCTACGGTTGGGAGCGTTGTCCTTACAATGCATATAGGAATTGAGATCCCCGAATGTTAGGGATCTTGACCCAAACCTATTGGGATCCTGCTCCTAGCCTTGAGGAATATATGTAATCAACGACTATACATACTTTTAAAAGCCAAGATCCCTTTGTTTGTAGCCAGTAAACAATGCAACTATATTTAGAAGTATTGCATTCCTAGTTGGCTGGGGAATTATTGTTTTGGTCGTTATCTTGCCCTTTATGGTGGGGATCAAGATCCCCTATAGTAGGGATCGAGATCCCCTATAGTAGGGATTGAGATCACGAAATTTAAAAAATAAAGATCTTTAGAAGATTCCTTTCCAGAAATGCGGAAGCAAGATTCTGGGGAGGGATCACCACCTAGAGTAACTAGGAAGGGACACACCAGGAGATTTTGGTTAGAGGGTGGCGTCCTCTGTTACAAAGGCAGGTAACACTCGTGGACATAAGAAAGAGACACCGAGCGATGTCATGATGCTCCAGCTGATAGGGAGAGGACCCTAGCCCTTTTGGCTCAGAATTTCTATTAGCCTCACATGGAGCGAGAGCTAGAACATTATGTCCAAAGTTACTTGTGCCAACAACACAACCAAACGGCAGAGGCTGGTCGCATTGCTCAAACCCCTTCCTAGTTTTGATGGCCCATGGCTGATCCTCTTCATGGACTTCATTAGTGGGTTGCCCAAGGTGAATGGGATGAGTCAGATTGTGATGATGTTTGTGGTGGAGTGTGTTTCAAATATGAAACCCTCATCAATGCCCCTGACAATTGCACATCAAAGTACATAGCCCAACTCTTCCTCACTCGCAGGGGTCACTGGACAATTTTGGGGATATTTGCTCGATTTCGATGGGAGCAAAACTTAATTTTCCCACCAGTAATCACTCTTAAGCAGATAGTTGAACTAAGAGGATGAATACATTAAAGGAGAACTTGTGGCACTATGTGACGGCAAAGCAACACAACCGGCTCAATTTTTAATTGGCATGGCCCAATTTTGCTACAATCTGTGTCAGAGTTCATCGACTAGGAAGAGTGTCTTGGAGTTGGTTGTCAGTCGTCTAGGAAGGGTGCCTTTGTGTCCTTCCCACTACAGAAAGAACAGTGTCTTGCTGCCCTGAGGTTGGCCAAACTCAAGAGAAGCACTTTGAGGAAGCTCATGACTACCTAGATTGATAAGTCAAGCTAATGAAAAAAATATGCAGACCAAGGTTGGAAGGATTTCGAGTTTGAAATGGGGGATTGGGTGATGCTCAAACTCACCCCCCAAATTTGGAAGAAAATTGGCACAAAGAAGGCATATCAATGGTAGATACAAAGGTACAATAGTCCCATTCAGGTAACCAAGCAGATAGGCAAGCTAGCCTACCACTTGACCCTCCCGGACAGGATCAAGGTGCATCCAATGTTCTATGTAAGCTTTCTAAGGACACCATCAGGATGAGGTCCAGACTAGAATTCAATCTTTACAAGCACCAACTAATGTGAGGACTATCAGAGTTGAAGATGGAAGCCATTTTCGTTCCAAAGGTAGTAAAAGGAATCAAAGGGTGGATGGAGTTCATGGTTAAGCAGGACTTGCTCCAAGAAGGGGCTAGCTGGAAAAACAATGCGACCATTTGGGAGTATGAGGATCTGATTGAAGAGTTCCTGGCTCGAGCCCTAACAAGGAAGTGGAGGGGGGACGCTTGTCAGCCCCCAACTTGGTTTACATATGCTAGTCGAGTGATTGGTAGGTGAATCCCCCTTGACTCAGCCAAAAACCACCCAACAATGGTCTCTTATAGCCTGTACAAACTTGTGCTACTCGGTGGTACGGAGCATCAACTCTTGGCAATCTATTTTTTTCTTAGCGAACAAACCCTTATGAGGGTAGTGAAGCCTTGTGCCGACCAACACATCGTGGCAGACAAGGTTGGCGTTGTGCATGGTGTGTGTCAACTTAGACGTCACGACCATGCGATTTCACAGTGAGATGGTGTGCTTATTGTTGACCTGAGATGTCTGAGATGGTGTGCTTGTTGTTGACCTGAGATGTCTGAGAGCGGGCAAATGACTTGGGTATAATAGCCTTGAGGGGGGCGGCTAAGAATGTAGAAATGTTAACCTGCCAGGTGGCTGCAAATCTAGGAAATGGACTAAGGGTGGTGAGTAAGTATGAGAGTAGCTGTAACTGTTCGAGGAGCGCGCTGTTGTAACATCAGCGAGTGGGCTGCCAGCTAGCCCCCAGGTGTCCCAAACCAGGCCATGCACAAAGGCTGGCTACCATGTATATTTATACTCGAAATTTGACTATTTGTACACCGTGCACAGTCAAGGTGTTGAGAATAAAGAAAATGACAGACAAATGGAGGAAAAGTATTGTGGTACCTATTTACAAGAACAAAAGAGATATAGAATTGTGCAAACTATCGAGGGATCAAGCTTATGAGCCATACTATGAAGCTCTGGGAGAGAGTCATTGCGCAACGACTAAGGCATGAAACGGTCTGAAAACCAGTTTAGTTTTATGCCAAGAAGGTCAACAACTGAGGCTATTTCCCTATTTAGGCAACTGATTGAGAAGTTTATGCCGAAGAGAAAAGGCCTTTACATGGTCTTTATTGATCTAGAGAAAGCTTATGACAGAGTACCTCGAGATTTGATTTGACAAGTATTGGAAAAGAAAAGTCTCTTTAGACACTACATTGACTTGGTAAGAGATATGTATGATAGAGCGCTAACTAGTGTACGAACAACTAGTGGAGAGACGAGTGAGTTTTCAGTGACAATAGGTCTACATCAAGGATCAGCATTGAGCTCGTACCTATTTGTCTTAGTTATGGATAGCTTTACTAAGCACCTACAGGATGAGGTACCGTGGTGCATGTTATTCGCAGATGACATAATTTTGATTGATGAGACCCGAAACAGTGTCAACACAAAGGTATAACTTCGGAGGGATGCTCTAGAATCCAAAGATTTTAAAATTAGTCGAACTAAGACAGAGTATATGGAGTGAAAGTCTAATAATAATAGGAGTAGGGATGAGGAAGTAGTTAAGATTGACAGCCAAGAAGTACAAAAAAGATCGAACTTTCAATATCTTGGGTCGATAATCCAGAAAAATGGAGAGATCAAGGAAGATGTCACACACAGATGTAGAGCTGAGTGGGCAAAGTGGAGATATGCAACTGAAATTTTATGTGATTGCCGCAAACCTATGAGGCTGAAGGCATGTTTTATAGGACAACGGTGACACTTGCTTTGCTCTATGGGGCGGAATATTGAGCAGACAAAAAACAATATACCCATAGAATGAGTGTAGCAGAGATGAGGATGTTGAGATGGATGAGTGGCAAGACAAGAAATGATAGAATTCAAAATGAATCTATTCGAGAGAATTTAGACATGGCACCAATACGCGATAAAATGAGAGAGAGTAGACTTAGGTGGGCTGGTCATGTGTGGCGTCGACCAAGTATAACACTTATTGGGAGGTGCGAGTTAATTTAAGTGAAAGGACTGAAAAAGACAAAGATAGGCCCAAAAAGACGTGGTTGGAAGTAGTCCGAAAGGATATGGAGACTTATGGCCTCACGGAGGATATGGCCTTTAATAGAGCAAAATGATAACCAGGATTCATGTAACCGACCTCAATTAATTGGGAAAAAGCTAAAATGATGATGATGTACACCGCGCACAACACAGGGGGTCATTTGCGGCAGTATACTTGTATGTGTACAGCTTGAATAAAATTGGGCAATGACCTTGCCCTATCTTACATAGATTCTTTGGCAAGGGTCTAGTATCCATGTTAGAGATGTATGGACACGAATACAGGTACAGATTCTTTAAGTTCAAGAATCCTGGAAACTGGATTCTTCATCAGTGGAGGGGGGACCCACTATCATAGCGTGTTGGATTCTTCTTCCAACAAATCCTACAATAAAAAACTATAAGAGTTTTCAACATCTCTCTCTACATTTTTGGGAAGTTTTCAATATCTCCTCTCTCTCTCTCTCTCTCTCTCTCTCTCTCTCTACTTAGTTAGTAGTACGACAACTACAACTACTACTACTACTCTCTCTCTCTCTCTCTCCTCTCTCCTCCCACCCCCACCCCCCCCCCCCCCACAACAACTCTCTATGTTTTCTTGAAAATAGCATTAACTAGCACCGCCTTATTTCCTTTTTTGTTGTAAATTCAAAAATAAGAACTTGTTTTTGCTATCAATCACATAAATAGAATCAGATTTTATTTAATGCTAGCCATGCATACATTAATAAGCACTAGACTGTTTCTTTTTCTATGAATTGAGAAAAGGAGAACTTCTTGTTTCTTTTTCATACGCTACATACAAGCAATAACATATCTATGGAAAAGCAAGGAGAGAAAGCTTTTAACGTTAAACAACAGCAACATGTTAGATGGAAAAGCAAGGAGAGAATACTGGCTCGCAGAATCATAACCCGTGGTTTCATTTTTAAGGTTTAATGTTTATTGGGAAGGTAAGTAGGACCCTATCACAAAACCTGGGAGTGAAAACTACAGATCTTACTACAGAATATGAAGAAGCTTTGTGATGTATATCAAAGATGTTACGCATGGGTGTTTAATGAAACTCTAAATCATCAGAAACTTGACACAAACACAACAACTGACAAACAAGGAGATCTGTACTACGAAGAATTTGATCTAAAGTTAGCGCTGAACAAAATTCAATATGACAATCTAAAGAAAATTAAACAAAATTGTATATTATTTGGTGTTCCGCTGCTCCACTCAGAAGAAAATATTCTTCATAATATTAACTCATGGATCTGCACAAGCAAAATTCTATAAATCAATGTTAAAACTTTGCAAATAATGTTCCTCAGATTAGAAGAACTTCATTAATTTACTTATTTCCTTCCATTAAATTAAATTGATATACGAATATTGCAGTCCCAATATCTGTTCTGATCTGATTTCTTGACATGGACACACTATTTTAGACCCTAAAAAGTAAAAGGTGCGGTTTACATAGATTGAAACCTTAAACAATCAAAATAAAGTGCACCTCTAAATTTTATCATAAGATGCAGTTTTGGTGCAGAAAGTTCTTAACGTGACCTGAGAATCCATTTTCATCTCTAACTATAAAATTTTAAACGTCAAAAAAGATTCAAGTCAGGTAGATCTATAAACACATGAAAATATTGAAGATGGACAGTCCAAATAATGTGTTGCAAAGATGCATTATTTTTCGGACTCAAAGTCTTTCTTTTTTTTTCCATATTCATACATCTCGATGTCAAAATGATCAATTAGAGGGTTTTCCAACATCAAAATAGCTTTCTCCAATGGTTTTTTTAGGTGCACCTTAATTCTACATTTTAAGATTGCCACCTTATATAAACTTTTTCCAAAAATAAAAAAACAGAATCAGAAGCTAGGAATACAGCAGAAAATATGTTTCTTATCCAAAAAGAACTCATGCATGGAATCGCTAAATGCTTTATAAGATACCACACATCCAGAAGATAAGAACAGTATGTAGATGATATGCAGCAATATACCTGAATCTCGTCGAAGCAAAGAATGCTCGCTCCTCCTTGACCAGCATTCCGATCAACAAGAAACCTATCCGCTACAGCTGGAAGTATATAATTGGAGTGTGCCTCCTGCTGATAAGTTTCTTCTCCAACTAACCACTCTTTGATTTTTGTATCAAAAGGAAGGCTGTCGATCCAACTAAAAGCTCCAGATAAAGATGATTTATCACTGACTTGCTTCTTCCAATGCTTGTGCATCTGCTCGTGTATTTCAAGCATCGCCTAAACTATGGAAGGTAAGAATTTAGACCACATTGTTCATCTAAATATTCAAAGTATTCAATGGCTAAGAGACCATGTTAATGAAAGTAATTATTCATATCAAAGCCAATAACATCATAAACAACCAATAAGTAATCATAGAGGTTCTGCAACCCCAAAGTCAAATACTAAATGGATCAAGAATGGAAAACATGGATTTCTTTTAATCAATAGCGAGTAATCAAGAAAAGCAAGGTTACAAGACTTAGACCCCGCAACAAAAAGAATAATAGTGCTCCTATAAAAGAGGTCCCGGGGGGGGCGGATGCCATCTCCACTGAACTTTCTAAAACACCACTATAGACTCCTTGCCTACACCATTTGATAACTCATCCAACTTGATTTCTTGGATAATTGTGTCAGAAACTAATTTGCCTTACCCAACAAATATCAAAATCTCCATAAACCAATTCATTGAGCATCTTGCAATCAGCCCCTCCTTGCAGGCCCAGAGGATAACATTCACAGAATCCCCCTCGAACACTACAGGCAACCCATATGGATAGAATCGCAATCCAACCAACAATGCTACTCTCCACCATTGTAAAATCATAGTGACCCAATGGCCTGGAATGTGCTTTGAATCAACTGCTCATCTCACACCAGAAGTACCACCCATTCCTGCTGTATCCAGTGCGCCAAACATCAAAATCCAATTTAAAATCCCACAACCAGGGAGAGACCATAGTGCAACTAAAGAAGTTATGCTGGGTATCGAGTACAAAATGAATCTCAATCTACCAACACAACACACCATGGAATTCAGGCTAGGTAAACGTCCATGATACAGCTCTACCCAAATTCCCACTGAGACAAGTCACCTGGACCCCCATACCTTGGAAAGCTCAGTTATTCCTCTCTTACAATATACCCAAAAGTATAGCGATGGTACAAAGCTTCAGTGTCATCCTACCCATAGAAAATAATGACAACGAAAACCACCCTCAAAGAATTCTTCAACTGAAGATGACGTAACCCACATCATTCCAAAGATATCTAACACATGGGACCAATGGGTATTTGCCACCTACAATGAATGAACAAATGCCCTACAAATTCAGCCTCTTCCCTGTACATACGCATGATTTGGGAAACTGCATCCCTCTCTCGTGTAGATGGCCCATGGTTGAGATACTACTCCGACAAACCACCCACCTTAACACTGTTGTTAAGAATGGGGCCCTCACCACCCACACTATTCTCACCCACTGACCTCTCCTTGTCCACCACCTGCACTAAGACCTTAGAATGATTTAGACGTAAGAAATTCCATAGTTCAGCAGATAATAAGAAAGGCGGAGCATAGAGACAGCAGCAGATAATAAGAAAGGCGGAGTATAGAGACAGCAGGAAAGGTGAGGAAGCAGCTGTATGAGAGTGAGGAACCTTCAACATTCATCAAGGCCTTGCAATAATTCCAACAATAAGAGAAAGTAAGCAGTTATCCAAAAAAGAGAAGTGCAAAAAGAAGTTATGAGGGTATCTGACTACATGCTAGAAAGAAATAACAACTTAGGTATCTGATAATGAGTGTAGAAGGAAGAGGAAAGATGAAAGAAAGAGATGGGATGTATGGTAAGAGCGGAGGGGTGAAAGATGAAACATTAAGAGTTGCGAAGGAATCACGGAAGAAGCGAAGGTAAGGGGAATACGTAAAAGAGGGAAGTCATGCAAAAGAATACCTCATGCAGACTTGATTCTACCTTCATTCCTAGGGCCATCATCAAGAACCAGTAGACGAGGAAAGGAGGCAAGAGGTTTCCCCCATCTTTTGAGGTTGTGAGGTTCAATATTCTTGATGATTGTTATTGACTAGGAATTCTTACAAAATAGGAGGCCTTAATCATCCAACTCATAGAAGCCCAAAGAAAAGTCTCATATATGTGTTTATGTTACCTAAAGACCACGTCTCCTTATGAATACATATCTAGGTATGCTGTTACAAAGCCTCAGGATCCAAACAACTCAACTTCATTCTCCAAAATAATGATCACGAATATCAATTTAGAACAAAGAAGTAATGGGCACCAACAAAAAAAGTAAAAATGAATAACTAATGGATCTAAACTTTAAATCTATATGTCAGAAACACGAGCTGCTCATATACTCCATAAAATATTGATATTTAGTGATTCAGTTGTAGATCTGCTAGTCCTTTTTTTTCAAAAAGACATTCGTTGAGTTAGTCAGTGAAGCCTCATAACAACATTACCAGTATAAACAATAAATGATAGTGTCCAAAAAGAAAACATACGCCTTAATATTTAGAATGTCACTGCTTCAAACCTAGAAAAGTTTCAAACATTCTACTAAAATGGCTTTCAACAATAATGGAAGGGGATAAAAAAAAACTCAGTGACAACAAAGGAAAAACCCTCAACAACAAGGGACAGATGAGAACTAATTCTAATTGAAACCTGCAATAAAACATACTTTAAGACATATTTTTAGTCCTCAATGTTTAAAAATGCGGAGGCGGACGCCCAAAAGCACCTTCACTGGAACAGGGGGGGAGACTTTGGGGACATGCATCTGTTACACCTTGATGTTATTTCAAGGTGAAACAGTCTACTTATTTCAAAACATGGACATTTATTTTTTTGCGCTATAGTCTATTTATTTCAAACAACAATATCCCAATAACTGCAAATGCATACATGAAGGAACATACACAATATTTTTCTACTTTTTCAAACAAATTCTTTGTTGCATATGAAACCATATATTGCACTAATCTGTAGTCAAATTTCTTATAAGTTTTTGTGGGGTTTAGCCAAATTTCTTAATCTTCTTATAATTAATCTCCCATCTCACCAAAACATGCAAATAACCCTAATTTGTGAGGGTCCCTTGCACATTTAGTACCACATATGGAGACTGGTCCTTCTTATCATCAAGGATCATTTCAAAATCACATTTAAAGAATAAAAGAAGCCATATTTCTAATTTACAAAAAAAAAAAGAATCCATATTTCTAAAATAATCAATGGAAATCACAACTCAATTCTCATATTAGGCAATGATAGCTGCCAATTAAACATTAGTTTCCATTAGAGCAAGTAAAAAATCAATGATATAATCCCAAAACCTATAAGCCCCTAGGGCTACCAACGGACAGGGCCGGGCCTCGGGCTTCCTGGCCAGGGCCTGTGTGATGACCCTAAATTTTTTTTAAAAACTGAAAACTAATAATAATAGCGTTAATAGAATAAATACAATAAAAATAAATAAATAAATGAAATAAAATAAAATACATAATGAAATATTTAGAATGATAATTCATGGCGACGAAATGCACCATAAGGACCATCTTTTCTCTGACATAAAATTACCCCTCAATTTAAATATGGACCCACGCTTCTTGGATATTTGATTAATAATTCAAAGCCACTGTTTTCTCAAAAAAAATTATGCTAGTCCATTTCTTTAAGGTGCACATTTGGTCCATCAGCTCTTTTACCATAATTGAATGTAAAGCTTCCAAAACATTTCTTCTTGCAAGCGTATTGGGCATGGTAAGGCTGACGTACCTCCATAAGATGTTGCATTAATTGTCATATTGTGTGGTGGCATTACCATATGTTTCAGTTAATCCTCTATTGATACATTTTAAATGATGTGGCATGCTTTGCATCATGCGTGTTAACCCATGGATGCTTTATAAAGAAGTTTTCTTTTGATCTAAGGAGTGTCAATGAAAAGTCTTTCTCTGGTACCGTACTCTCTCTCTCATTTTAATCCTCTCTCTCTCTCTAAGTTATCTATTTTGTTTCACTGTACTCTCTCTCTCTCTCTTTAACCTCTTTCTTCCATCTAGTATGTTCTCTCTCTAC